AAAAAATAAAATAAAAATATATATAATATTTATGTTTCATATTTTTATTGAATGTTATATATATATATATTAAAAAGTTTCACAAAATGTGTGAATTTGAAATTAATTTTCTGTTGTAAAACATCAGCTATAAAGTACCGTCATTTCCGACCAACTTTCAATTTAACTMTGATAATCTKGATTATTTTTCCAACGCTATCGATTGTATTGGTAATCTTGTTTGTTACAATATTACAATTATTATATTCAATAAAAATATGAAACATAATTATTATATTATATTGTAATTTTTTTATTTTATTATTTTAAAGTGAATTGGCGGAAAAAGCAAAGGAACGGTTTTGGCGGAAAAGAGAATCGACCAATTTATGGTTTGGCGCAAAAGTGAATCGGCAGAAAAGGGAAAGGTACACTTTTGCGGAAACGGGTAACTCCCATATTATCATCAGTATCGTATTTGATCACATTATTTTAAAATTATTGTTTTGTACGTTACTTGATTCAGAGCGGACGGAGACGGCTGTCTGAACGCTGCCGGCTGGGCGGCGRCAGTGGCGGCGCGACGACTGCAGCAGCGGTTGTCCGTCGGACGGCGAGGTGGCGAGCACAGCCGCGAACCGCCGCCGAGGCGGCAACAACACCGGCGGCGGCAGGAGTGCCGTGTCGCCGCCATGGCGTTGTCACGCCGACCGAGCGGTAATAATTATTTGTAATATCGATACAAATGTATCGCAAAATGAACCAGAGACGAGAAATATTTACTGTCGAAGTCGTTTGAAAAAAAAAAAAATAAGCTCAAAACAGCGTTTGAGGGGTCGGCGAAACGTGTACCTACTCACCGAGACGTTAAACAACAATAATAATAACAGCAGCAGCAGCAGCTAATGCGAACGACAGTAGTATTTCATTATGACGTTTGTTTCGCGGCGGCGGCGACGCTACGAACCTATTTCGGGACGACCGCGTATTTCAAGACGACGATGATGTAGTTCGCCATCGGGCGGTGGGTCGGGCGGACGGGTGGGTGGTGGCTCTGGACGACGACGACGACTGAGGCGCGACTTTAGTGTGCGTGCGCTTGTGTGAGTATGCGCGTCCGAGATGGGTTCCGCGGGTCGGCCGCCGACGATCGATCGATGAACCACCCTCTCCGCCGTACAACCCTATTTTCCCGTATGTGTACGTGCGTAGGTAATCATTTTCCTACCGCCGCCGTCGTCATCCCTCTGGCCACGTCATCGTACGCCCCGACCCCCTTCCCTCGGCCACCAGACGCGGTGTGCAGTCTAGAAACTTTGGAAACGTTTATAATTCGGTCACACGCCGTGGTGGTTTGATAATAATTATTCATTATGTACGAACAGTGGTATAGTGGTTACACATCGAGCTTATTTTTTGATGTGTGCTGTATCTTATATACACGTATAACCCGGAATATCAATAGTATTATTATACTGATTAGTCATTATAGTGGTTACTGACAAATCGGTAATGTTCACATTGCGTCATAATAACGCTGTTGACAATATACTTATATAATACAATATGTTATTATATTTTATTATATGATGTGCGGTCGCTATAAAAGCACAAGTTATTATAATAATACGAGTATTGTACATTTGTACTTAAAGTTGTAAATGTTACAACATTCATTACTGTATTGCCATCATTATATAGATCGTAATATAGACTATATAGTTGAGTCAGAATGTTAGATAATAACTGATTGCAAGACTAACACCATTTTTGACTTGTCCAGTTAGGATTAAAATTTTAAAATGTAACAAGTTACAAGTGGGTTAACTTAATTTTCTGCGGGATATACGAATCTATGCTTTTACTGTATAGTGTACACTAACCTGTTGTTTTATTACAAATCGGCAGTATTTACTAGAAAAAACTAATAATAACCACCGATATGGCAATGGATATCAGCACAAAAACCACTAGTAGAATATCTGAAGCTCGAGTCTCGACCATGGGTAGATGCGGTGATTAAATCAATTACACATTTTTATTGATACGAGGGGAGAGGCTCCATTCTACGCCCCGCATTAAGAGACTATTTGAATTTATATTTTATAGTTATATAGCTTTTTCTTTTATTTAATGATTATTTGAAAATCATAAATCGCAGCTGCAATTATAAATACATTATAAAATCCAACGTACCACGCCCAAGGGAGGAACGATCCACTCATTGCCCACTTAAATAACTGCCACTGACTATAAGGTATAGAATAAAATCCTCATCGAGTAAATAAGTAAGATAAAAATAAAGGAGAGGAGACTTTTGTATAATATAATGCTTATGCAATAATTACTTCATTCAATTCATATATCGCAGCTTCGACGTAGGTACTTAAACTGCGAGCTACAACCTACGTCCTACAACAGCTTATAATAAATTCAGATTACATGTTTGACAATGTTTACATTTTTATTGATTGTTTTCTACATGTAAGAGTATGCAGGAATGCGGGACTTAAAATATATAGCTTGCGAAGTTGTAAGGGGCATTACAATATATTAAACGCTATATTTTGTAGTCATCAATAATTTTCATATTAATATATAATTTTAAATATGAAATAGAATCATTGTATAACAACAATAGGTACATCATATTTAATAGAAAATTTAAGCATAACACAAATATATTTTTTCATAAATACAATTTTTTTTTTTGATGGGGGATGGGTTAAAACACAAGAAACTCTACGTTACCCCACATAAACCGAGAAAAGTTTCACTGATGCATGTAGGTATGCCTATTGCCAGTATATAGTAGATTTCGAGTGTATCACGTCATAGGGTAGCTCACTGTAATGTATATGTGTTAAATTTGAACTTCATAATAAATCATGATGTAACAAATGTATAATGTTATATTTATCATAATCTAACTAAAAAACGATCCTGAGTGGAGTGTGGAGACATTGGAGACATTGCCACATTGGCCACTTCTATTTTATTATTAATGTAATATATTAGTAACTTCAGACTAATTTTTTTTCTATTATAGTAGGTACCTCTGGTACCTACCTATAGTAAGTATGTTGAAATAATTTTTTACCAAAAACATAGCATACGATCCAATAACGTTTTCTTGATGTATGGTGTTTAAGATTATGTGATGATATCGAAGATTCAACTGAAAGATGAACGTAAAAATAACCATAAACGATTTGAATGAATATTATTTTTGTTTACACGTAATTTAGTAAGACTATAAAAATACATTTAAAATATTTGAATAAATAGATAAATATAAGATTTTGTAAAATGTATATTTATATTATAAATGCGATTCATTTTTAATCTTAAATGTATCATTTAAAAAACTATAATATAAATTAACAATCACTAATCAGTACGCATTTTAAAACCACATTACAACATCCAATTAATATTATTCAGTATTAACATTAATAATATAAATTTAATCATTTACATAATGTATATTCGTTTGCTAAGTTGACTAAGTTGAGCACAGTTTTACTATAGACTCGTAGGCACCGTGGCACATATCATTGTGTTAAAAATTACAATTGACATAACAATTTATAATAAATATCATGTTTTGTACTTACATAAATGTTTTAACCACCGTTGGTAATTCACTATTTGGTAAAGAAAGACAAAACAAAATATGATATACGGATATACCGTAAACGGCAGCTGGTGGTATCTTGTTAATCACAAAGCAAGAACTGGAGTAAATTAAAAATAGCTACAGAGACACATTACACATTTACACACGTAACCATATTATTGAACAACGCGTTGCAACGGTGAGTGCGTCGGTCGCCAATATTTTGCGATAATAATGTTTCAAAAATTATAATGGAATTTTATTTATAGCGAAATTTATACCTCTGTCAATGTAATAAACTAGACCTAAAATAATATTTTGTACATTTTGACATTAGACGTTTGCCAAAGCGCTCGTCGGCGTTTTAAAATCGCACTGCGCTTTCATACTGGACGATTTGTGTGCGTTTTTTAAAATAAAAAGTGCTCCAAACTTTGTTTGAACCATTCAATTCTTTGTTTTTTGTTGTATACTATAGGTTAGTACTGATGTTGATGTTACCGCCCATTGTGGATGACTATCGATACGATTCCAATTAAATTTTAAAATTGGTTGTATTTTGTTTCGAATTTTTTTTGTTTCCGATTTGAAACTATGGAAGTAGTAGGTATTTGATAATATTGAAGCCACATGCATTATTTTTGCATTATTTGATGAACGTGATACGTGAACTCGGCAAGAAATAGCAAAAAAGAGACAAAATTAAAAGACGACATTGGATCCATTTTTTAAATGTTAAAGACTAAAAGTAGGACTTTGTCTTAAATGCTCAATCCTTAGCTATATACATTTATAACTACAAAATAATATTTAAATTTAAAATTTTATAAATGTGTCAAAATTTTTGAACTTTAAATGCTTATGAAAAATTGCTTTTATGACTTTATATCTGAAACCTTGTTTTTCAAGCTTTTTGACACACCGAAAAAATAAAATGGACATTTACAGAAAAAAAAAACTAAAAATGTCAGTAAATAACTCAAAAGATAAGTTAAAATATTTTGAAAACGTTATCAAGTATAGGATGTGATAAAATAAACATTTGATATGAATTTCAAATGGTATCTACAATTATTTGTTTTTAAATTACAGCGAAATAAGAAAATCGTTCTATGAGAAATCAATTGAATATCCAATGTTGTAAAATTTTAACTTCCAATGCTCATAAAAGTTTAATTTGATTTTCCAGAAAACATTTTTTTGTCAATAAAGATAGAAAAATGTATGAGGAAACTTGTATTAAATTTTCAAATCATAGATTAAAAAAAAATTTTTTTAACCATATTTTTAACACAAAATATTCTGTAAATGTTCATGACTTTTACATTGCTATTTTGTTTAAATTCAAAATTCAAAACTCGTAAAAAATTATTGTGAATTATTTACGTTCAACTTTTTTGGAATTTCACAAATTACAGCGTCAAGGAACCTTGATAAATTTTTTGATTTATTTGACCAAGGAAAATTTTTTAATATTAATTTAAAAAAGTGGGTAAGTTGGTACCGCTCTGCTGTACAATAGGGGATGGGGGGACCTCTGACTAGGGTAGGTTAAATTTGAATGCAATGATAGGTATGTTATGAAGAATCTTGTATTGGGTTTTTAAYCTTAGGTAGTATAAATCACAACAATTTTATGAATTTTCAACTTGCATGCAAATTTTTGCGATTTTAACATATTTCGTAAACATTTGAAGTTTAAATGCTGATAAACAAAAATTGTGACTAACAAATTTTGATTTTTTTTTACAACGATAAGTACAACTTATAATACACCTATTATGTTAAATTTAAAATATTTTTTGGACATCCAAATTTTTTTTTATATACATTTCAATAAAAAAAACTTAGAAAAATCCAAAATTTAAATTGTCTATAATGAGCTTAGAAAAAGTTAAAATATTTAAAAAATTTAATTATGAATAGATGACGCTAATACAAACATTTGGTGAAAATTTCAAGTATTTACAATGGTTMATTTTTGAGTTGCAGCATAATAAAAAAATCGATTTTGTTGAAGCAAGTCGGATTGACTCCGATTTAAAAAACTTAGCACCTTTCAGAATTCAGAGCAATATATTTATGCACACATGAGACATGGAATAAACTTCGATTAATTGTACAAATCGATAAGTTATTTTTAGTTCAATAGGACTACCTACGGACAAATAGTAGGATAGGATAAGATAGGATAGATATGATAATAGTCTTTAATCTAGATAAAATAATCTGATAATCGTCGAGCGTCGTCGATCCACGATAAAATAATACTTTACTGCTYGGTGGTTTATTTTTGTACCACTACACAATGCATAAACAAACTCAAAACATAGGTACACAAAACATATTGCAATACTTATAAACATGCGTGGCTGCATTTAAAACGAACTGGGTACCTACGAAGTATTTATCTACAACTGGCATAAAGGATTTGTTTTTTTTTTGTATTATTTCTATAAAGTATAAATAGATTATTTATAATAATATTAATTCGCCGAGGTATTTGATTTCAATATATGTATAAAAATAAATGATAATAATATTATTAGATAAAGAAGTACATAGGTGAATGTAGTTAACCAGTCTTAAAAAAAAAGGTCATGGGGGGGATACGACACCCAAATCCCCCCTCGTAATTACGCCGCTGCGACATAATACGTCATTTAGGTTGATAATATGTTAACCTAATCGAATTTAGTTCTGAATAAATTATTTAATATAATCGGAAACAATTACCCATTGCCGAATTTCAATGTTAGATTGATGAGTACCTAAATTATTATAAGTTATAATTTATATTATATAAGTACGAAGTACCTATCTATAAGTTATAAATTATAATCTATGTAGTGTATCTAATTAGTGGTTATGTAAAATAATACGATTTAAAAATTGGTAAAAAAAGTTTAAATTATTATAATAGGGAAGTTTGAAATATTGAATTTTAATTGTAAATTGAAAATTATCATTATTCCCGTGGATCGACTGTTTCACTGATTAGACATAATAATAATAATATTATGATAAATATTATTTATGAACATTTTATGGCAAATAATTTTATCATAGGAGGTACATTTGTAATCACAAATATCACCAGCTGATAAAACTGATTGACCATTGATAAGAAACTCAGTAACGCCCGCGCTGAGGTGATCGTTTAGTGTTTACTGTAAGCCTGAAAGTCGTTGTCGCTGGCTTTAACTGGACAGTGTACTATTGTAGGTACAGACTAAATGGTCTACAGTCTATATAGTAAACAGTACTTAACAGTATTCATTGCATTTTTGTACGTGTTCTGAGCTGAGGTCGATTGCATCGCTTATTGCGATTTACGGTGCAATCATTTGCAGGACAGTAAGTTATGTACTAAACTATATCTAACAGCAATTGATTATTGAAAAGTAGTACCCATTAATGAATACAAATCTGTAATTTTATGTCAAGTTCTTAACTTAATTTTTTTTTCTTCCTAAAATCACTTCTTTAACTATGTCATTTTTATTTAATGCGAGACTTGTTAATTGCATGAAAAGAATTTTTCCTATTGCCAGACATAATTTATCGATTAATAATTATAAAAGACCAATACCATTTCCTAATTCAAAACAAAGTGTTATTACTTCTATAAGATACTTTTTGTCAAGTCAGACAAATACGGTAAAGTCAATAGTCTTTGGATTTTCATTACTTGGTTTAATTGGACTTGGAGAGGAAGAAAAAGATCGTGAACTTATCTATACCATTAAAAAAGGCCTGTTGTATTTACAAGTAAGTAAATGATTTACTCATATAGATGGAATAAAGTATTTGTTGTTGAATATAATATACCTGTGTATTCTACAGTTGACTAATTATTACCTAATATAATAATTCAAAAGTAAATAAATAATAATAATATGATTATTAGGTGCTTATTTTATTAGTATATTCTTTATTATGTTATAAATATAACTATGTTAATTTAAAACTTCCACACAGTCACTGCACAATGTTTTTTTTCCATTGGATCATTCACTAAGTAATAAGTAATGAGAATTTCATAAAATGGATACCACAACTTTGATCAATTATTTCACCCTATTTTGTACTTATTAAATTAAATATAAATTCTTTAATGTGGATACATTTTATCTACATTTACTTACATTTTACTAGATATAATATACATAATGGCAGATTAACTAAAAATATCAGCACTAGAACTAACTATTATAAGCCCTTACTGTTGTTATTATTTATTTTATGAACACTTATAACTATAATACAGTAAACTCTCTGCCTTCAAACACACACATACTCACATAATCTATACACACCTATGTGCATACAGTCATTAACCGTTGAAATTAACATCATACGCCCATATCTAATGCATAATAATTTTATTTATATCACTTAAATATTATGCATGTTTATGGGTGTTTTTAGTAGTATACACCAGGGGTGGCCAACCGGTCGATCGCGATTCACCAGTCGATCGCGAGATGAATTCAAGTCAATCGCGACACCCTTTAGCATTTTCTTAAATTTTTGAACTTTTTTAGGTAAACAAATAGTTGGATGGATAGCCCACATTACTTCCTATTAACGGCCTTTATCGCGTTCGTATAAACTTATAAATCGAACCAGTCTGMAATGACAGTTACAATAAATATAATAAATATGTAATCAAATATATTAAAATATGTGTAGTGTTAAACTGTGAATTTATATTGTAAATATAAATTAATAAAATAAGTGTAACACGCCTGTACATATAATATATTTTTTGTTTATTGACAACCTTTTTATTTTTTGGTCGATCGCGACAACCTAGCAAAACTCGGAGGTCTATCGTAGGTCTATCAAAGTTGGCCAGCACTGGTATACACTATGAAATCACCTGTATCAATTTTGGCAAAAAAAAACTAAAGATTATTTCTTTTAGTATATTCTAAGTATATTTAAACAGTAATATTTTATCGTATAAAAATGTTTCTCTTTAACTTAAATTACCCATTTAGGTACTTATTTGTGCTCTGCATGTCTAGTGTTTACTTTTGTATTCTCAGGTAAATAAAAATTATTTTGAAGACATTTGGTACATTTAAGGATTTAAAAGGATTTACTAAATCTCATACACATATTTTATCATATTTTACAAATGAGTAGAATAGTTAATTCATTCTTGACAAATAAGTAATAATTAATAATTTTCTAATATTGTTTTTTATGTTTTAGAATGATGATTACAATGCTTTTGAACAAACATTACATGAGGCTCTCAAAATGGCTTATGATTTAAAACATTTTGATGGTATAACATATGTATATGATGTGTTAGCAAATGGAGCATTTATGAATAAGGAATATGAAAAGGCGAAAAATCTATTTACCACAGTAATGAGTAGATTATTTGATCAAGGAGGCCTTGAAGATGATCTTAACATTCTACATATAAGTCTTAAGCTTTCTAAAATTTATGAATTTCAAAAAGATTTCAAGTAATTATTATACTACCTATAATCTATATATTAATTTTTTGATAAATAATTTATATGGATGTAAAAATTTCAATTTATTTCAAATAAGCTAATTGAATTGAATTTAATGCTTATAATATTATCTGAATTACAATTATTAATTATCAACGTGCTCAGAATATTTTATTTCTTATGATTTATAAGTACAAATTGTGAGTTACCTACTTAGAAAAATTATTCATTAGATGGTCTCTTGAAATTTAATTGCCCAATCATGTTTAATTAAATGTATAAATAAATCATTTTTGAAGGGCTTATAGCTATTAGTTTAAAATATTTAATAATCGATACAGTAAATATCTAGTATTTACTTCTAACAAAAACATAATTTATTTATGTCATTGTCGCAGCAGAACCAATAATTGTTACAGTATAATACAAATAATAGTGATGTTTATCTGTAATCATAGGCGCCAAGTACATGGGTGCTCGGGTGCTCGAGCACCCATTGAAAATATTCATTGRGTGCGGAGCACCCAATATAATTAAAATAGGTAAACCGTTATCACCACGTTCATTGTATGATATCAGTGGCTACAAAGAAAAACTACAGGATATAAAAATCTATTTCATCTATAATTCTGTGGCAAAACCTCGGAAGTCAAAATTAGAAAAAAAAAATTGGGGGTGGGTACAACCCATTACTCCCTCCCCGCCAATGCTTGCGCCACTGTTGTTTTACATTGGTAAGAGCACCCAATAGCTTTTTGAAAACCTGGCGCCTATGTCTGTAATATAGACTTTTTTTTATTATTAAGTGTGATGAAATTATATAATAAAATCAAACAAAAATTAACAAATTTTTATAAACTTAAAACTTTTTTGCATTTTAAAAAATTGGATACTTTGATGTATTTTACTAAAGATTCCTTATTTTTTAATCATGGTTTTCAATCTTTTATAATTATGTATTGAGTGTTTTTGGTTAGCATATATTGTAATTTTGAATTCAGTTTGAGTCTCATATTGGTATATTATTCATTAACACATTTTACACCATTTTCTTAATTTATTACAAAATTAAAATAATATTATTTATACACTTATAGTTAGAATTAATTAAATTTATTTTGATTTTTAATTGTATGATATAAACTTGTTTCAGAAATTCTGAAATCGGTTACTTATACTGTATAGAACGTTTGGAGAAGAAGTTTAAAATTGATCCTGAAAACGAAGATGTTTTAGGTTTATATGCTATAACCTTAGACGCATATGCTCGTTATTTAATGAACCAAGGACAACCTGATAATGCAAGAACTTATTTTAGAAAGGCATATAATGCTAGTGTTAAGTTAAATGGTGAATTATTTGAAATGAATGTCATTTTATTGAATGATTTAGGAACCCTATGCTATGTTCAAGGAAATTTAGATAAAGCATTACATTACTTTAGAAAGGCGGAAAAAATTGGGCAACATCTTCCTGACATGGAAAACTTTTCAACTGTATATATAAATCTCGGTAATATTTACTTAAAACAAGGATTGTTACAAGAAGCAGAAAAAAATTGTGTGGAAGGAATGAAAAATGCTAAAAGACATCGTTACGATGAAGGCAAAAAAGAAGCAGCAATTTGTTTAGCTGAAATAAAAAATGCTATGGTGTGACTTATATTAAGTTTCGAATTTATTTTGTTTTGTAGGCCTATTGTTATTTAGTATTTTATTCCTTCAAATCTTTAATTATGTTTTATTTCTATAAATTTCATAATTTTTAATTATAGATATAGGTTAGTATGGAATTATTGTGTTCAATAAATAAATTGAAAAGTTATAAGTTATTTAAAAATTGAATTAAATAATCTTAATAACTATAGTTCAATAATATAATGAGAAGCTTTAATGTATGTTTACATTTTATTATTTTGAATTTAAATGATTATGTAGTATTATATAACTAAAAATTTACTGTTTATACTAGTCAACTATTGAATATCTGAATACTGTTTCTCTTGTTTATTATAAGTTAAATTGTGTCGTCAGTGATTAACAATTAATTTTATAGAATCTTATTATACTGTCATATTTAATTTGATATTAATTATAGTTTAWAAATCACTAGTCAAATTAAWATTAATATTATATTATTATTATTTATACTTATTTATGACTTGTAGTTATGACAATTTATACACTTTTTGGTATACAACATTACAATATAACAGGCATTTAGTTATAGCTTACAGTTGCTTACACGCTATATTAATAAATTGATAGATTTATTTACTTATTGATATTATTTAATTGTTTATTCTTAATTAATGCTATACTTTAAAATATTGGTGTTAAATGATGTATTGTATCTATAAATACATTTTCTAGTGTAAGACAATTATAACTACAAACATTTCGAGTTTATGTTTGAAACATAATAAATATGTATATTGTTTACTTATATGGATAAGAACAGTGTTTAAATTTGAATTGCTTTAAAAATACAAAGGTTTAATTTATAGCATTTAAACTAAACATTATTTTAAATCATTGAATTAAAAAATTATTTTAACTATATTATCCAATAATAACAATTAAATTCATCCTGGGCTATGCATACAAATTAGATATTAAGTAATTTATTTTTAATACGTTAACTATTATTATCATTTTGGTTTTAATTAATATTAATTTATAATGTTTATGTTTTTGTTAATTTTATTAATTACTACTTATTCATTAAGTACCTATCTACATTACTCTGCCATTATTTTTGATTTCTGTCACTTATTAAGTATTAGTATGTTTTAGGAATTACCGATTAATATACTGTTATGATAACAGTATCACATTGTTGACAAAACTATATATTTTGTTTTAAAATTACAAAATATATTCCCGATTTTTAATTTAATATGTGGCACGCCTATCTATTTGGTAATATAATAATTATATTATAATATTTTTTTTTATAACTTAAAACTATTTAAGTTTTTATAATTAGGTAACTAAGCTACTACCAATTTAAATATTGTTTTTAATATTGATTTAATTATTCTCAAAATTAATAATAACAATTCTGATATTAATAAAATTGTATGATATTTCTCTAGTCATTTAATTGATGTTAACTTACATACAAATTTGAATAATATCATACTATACAATATAGGTAATTCCAATATTGTATCTTATATTCAACCTTTTTATTTGTTTTAAAAATATATAATTTAGTAATAAAAAAAGTATGAATACGTTCCTATTTATTAAAAATGTTAAACTATCAATGGTAATATTTGTTATAGTTAAAATACATTTTATGAAGTATAACTATATTTTATTTCAGTACAATAAATTATAATTGCAATTTATATTGTAAGTTTGTGTTCTATTAAAATATAGAAATAATATAGAAAGCTATATTCTTCGATGTACAAGTATTTATAATAAATGTTTATTTATTGTGAATGTTCAATATATTGTACACATTTCAATGTTTTATAATAATGTTAACTAACATAATAGCTCTTTGATTAAAATTCTAATTTAATTGATTAATTATTATTGTTATTAAAAAAAAAAAATAACCCATTTAGGATTTTTTTCTTGACAACATTTGTGGTCTTTATTCATTTGAATTTAAATATTTAAAAAAACTGATCTTTATTCGTTATCAAGTTTAAGAATGTTTAAGTTGAAGCATTTATATTTATATTTTAATTGATTTGAGCAGGGATTTTTGTACACTGAAAAGTATTAAAGTATGAAGTCAAAATTGTGAAAATTCAAAATATAATAAAAAATCTTTGAGATGTTCATACAGTAAAAAATTTACATTTATTATTCATTTGATAAGTATGTTTTTTAATATGTGAGTTAAATTAAATTACAATAAATTAAACAACTTATAATTATGGTTATTAGTATCAATAAATAAAATATAAAAATATTATGAAGAGCTTTAATTACCTATAAAAAAAAATAATTAAGTATTATTAAAATGAATAATCCATTTTTTTTTTTTGTTTAATTTTCGCTTCAATATACAGTAAATTTTGAATTTTGTGAAAATGAGTACAAATATGTAATAACCATTGAAGATATAATAATCAACAAAAATAAATTTTCCATTAGCTTCAAAATAAAGATTACCGTCGATAATCTCTAAAATGTGATCAGGAAAAAATATGAAATTGTATCAGGAGAATTCTCTTGTGAACAATTCAAATACGTTTTCTGAATGATATAAGCTGGGATTTCGCTACTAAGTGAATTTTTTTTTTTTTGGTTTTTCATAATTGTCATACCAAATTAAATTATGAAACTTTATTCACAGAAAAACTCAATATGTATAGGTAGGTTTTTTATCTATACCAATCTTCCTAAACAAATCCAACAATATATTAAAGTATTTGTATATCATATGCCTTTATAACTAAATATTCAATTTTATATTATGAATTAAAATATTTTTTTTATCGATTCGGACAATAGGTACTTTGTCCTCAGACGTCTCGTGGTGGCTGTGCGCCGACGTCGAGAAGCCAAGGCACGTCGGACCGCTGGCCGCTGTCTTTTTATTTTCATCGTCACATAATCATAGAACCATATCGCTGGTACGTCCACCCAATTTGTATTGCAGTCTACCCAATTGTCGTCGTTGTCTATGGTAGAGCGGCAAAAACTCAATACAAAATTCATCACGCACAACCAGAAAAGAACCCAAAAGAATAGCTGTCGATAGTGTTTCTATTAGAAGTCATATTTTTATAATAGGTATAGGTACTTTATAAAATATTATTTGTTTGTAAAGGAAAACTAAGTAAATTATGATTTTATGAAAGTTTCATATATCATGATTCACAAAGCCGTGTGTCAAGTAATTTAGAGCCCCGGACAAAATTTTATTTGGGGCGGGATACAGGTAGCATATTAAGCGCAAATAAAGGCTCCCCCTTACTTTTATAAAACTAAGGCGACGGGAGCATTTGCTCCCTTTGCCCCCCTCTAAACACGGCTCTGATGATTCATGATACCACTGTAGGTAGGTAATTATTAATTATTTTAGTACCTATGCGTTCAGTTCATTGGAGCAAATGGAATGACGTTGCAGTGCCTAAAATTCTTGAATATTAGTATACACCTAATAATTGTAAAAGTAATAATCAGCGTGGTATTTTCGGAAAAAATCAATCAGAAAAAATCGGAATTTTTTTCCAATTATAAGCTGTACTGTTTTTCCTTTTTATGGCTTAATCTCTGTTATAGAAGAATGGTGAATACGTATGTACTCGTATTGACCTTGCCAAAAACTATGTAGTTAGATTTACATATTGACATTCTGACATTTTTCCAATGATATTGAAGTTAGTGGTTTTTACATTTTACACAAAAAACAACCTGGGATTTTCAAAATATTAAATGGATTGAACCCAGAAAAGCGGCCCGGGATTTTTGGACTGGGCTTTTTCATGACAACTCTGCTTCAAGCAGGCCCTATTTAATATTATAATATGCAGTCACCTGATTCAAATAATATTAAAAATCTTTACTTACCATAGAGACTTCGTAATATGGTTGTACAGTTGCTTGGCTGAAAATGAAATAATATCAAATCATCGTGTCTTTGAGGTGAGTAGCGTGTTTAGTTCCGATACTCACAAATTAACTAGGAAATAATCGTTTACTGGTAGTATTGATATGATTCTGTATAACTTTAGATAGCAGTCGGTTAACTGTAAAAAGGTAACCGCCGACCGTACCAAACAACAAACATCGTAGCAATTCAAAAACAAACGTAGGTCCACTAATTGCTGTGATTGCATTCCAAACAAAGCACTACCTAGTTGATAGAAAAACATTCTAATTATAATAATAACTTTAAGTTTATATTAATATATACAGTAGAAGCCGCTTATTAGGAACACTTTGGACCAAGATGAAATGTGTCAATTAATCAATTGTCTCTAATAAGCAATTGGTTTTATTCATTATGAAATAATTATCATTTGAAAAAAATAATATGTTATGTAAAATATGTGTTTATCGTTATCTGTTGTTCTGCGTAAACTAACTTGATGACCATGGTTTCGTAAGAATAATGTTACCCAAAGCCTTTTTCATCCACCAGTAATGGACTGCTTTCATGATGATACTTAGCGCTTAAAATTTTTTTTTACTTGATGGTCGTGTCTCGCTGTTTTCTTCTTCATCGTAAATTTCACAATGTCCAATTGTTTAAGGATTCATAACCGTATTATAGATCTCTTCTTCTATTGGAATTTCTGTAACATCTAGACGTAGACGTGCGTCTATAATGATTCAATCTTCATACACTTTTCCCAGGGTTGGACTGGTTATTCAAGGAGACTGTGCTATGTATACACATTAATTATCATCAAATAGTCTTATATTATCGATAAGAAATATAAATAGCTGTCGCTAAATGTCTGTACTAGTATGCAATCGCCAACGTGCATACTGCGTACATAATGAACATGTTACATGATAGGTACTAGCCGTTAGATATAAATATGACGGACAATAGCGCGACGCGGCCGAAATAATCAGTACTTAATCAGTACTCATCGTTGACCTTAGCCCTAATTTTTTTATGCAATCAATGTGTTGTTTCAAAGTTTCAACAATTCGATTGATTTTCAAAGTTTTAATATATGGCCGGTCCGTTTCTAGATATTTTTGTTCAATAACGCGATTGTATCAATTATCTCCGTGTTTCTAAT